AGAACACCTTTCCCATAAAAAAAAAAAAAAAAACAGAGTGCTAACTTAAAGTCTTGATGCTCTCACACTTCCACCCTATAATATAGTACAGTTTCCTCACATTCAGCAGAACCAGAGATGCATTGAATAGTTTCTAAGGTGATACAGAATAACTCAGCTCTTCTCATGTATTTTGTAATCTATTAGTACTAAACTCTTATTGAGTTAAAATAATAAATGTAGCAGTTTTATGTGTCATCAATATGTATAAAATACTTCCATATAAAATTTTATAATGCAGCTCTGGAACTTAAAAACCTGTACCATGTGTTATCTTCATAATTGCAGTTGTTCTGGGAAAAGGAAAAATAAATATTAATCATTGCTAAGTAAATGGATCAGTTCTTATAAAAAAGAACAGAACCTGTCAATTTTTCTGCATTTTTATCTAAAATTATATTTATTTCACTTGACTGAACATCTCAGACAACATATATATTCATTTGGAATTGAACAAAATTTACTTAGTGAATATTCTGTGTTCTCTGTCAGCTATTATTTGGAAGACAGATAAAGTGTAATAGGTATTTTTACTTTCATTGGACTTGAAAATGGAAGACCTGTGTGATAAAAAAAATCTAGATAATATTTCTCTCCATAATTATCTGAAGAATTTTACTAAACAAGTATGTTTTTAGTTTAGGCTTATTAAACTCTTTCCTTTTACAGTACATAGAAAGTTAAATTTATCATAGAAAATATATGTGAATGGTTTCATTCTATGAATATATTTGAATAGTTTCAGGCTCAATGAATACTTTTGCTTCATTAAACTCTCATGAATAAATTTCTCTGTTACAAAAAAACAGGCCCCTGAGTTATTTACAATTAGCCTAGACAACACTTAGCTTAAGTATTTGTCATTATTCTAGTTTAGTTTACAAAAAAAAATCCTTTCTTATCTGTGCTCTATTAAACTCCAACCACATGACATTTGTATTTTGTGATTTGGTGTCTACACGTATACATACATATCTTTCCTTACTGGCCTGTGTGTTATATGTGTAGGAACTGTATCTGCTTCATTTTTTCTATGCCATGTTAAATATGTAGTAAGGGTATAAAATACTGAATCAGTATTCAAATGTTGAAATAAATTTTGAAAATGATTTTTAATGTCTTAGAAATTTTAAAATTAACTTTTGTATGCCATCAATATATCAATATATATGCATATATGTGTACATCCATATAAATGTAATAGTCTGTGTACAAAATATAACTGAAACTACTATATTTTCTTTCATAAGTTTATGAGAAATTGCTTGTCATTGTTTATGACTGTATACTTGTGCATTACCTTGAAGTCCTAATAAACTCAGGGAATTTGGATGAGGACACTATGTATTTAGGACACTAATATTCAGATAATGACAAAATGTTAAAAAGATATCTAAACATATATGGAGTATCTAAATTTAATTAACCCATGATAGTAGCAAATACAGTTTCTAAACTATAGGCCTATTATACTCTAATCTTTATGAATTTTTTCATATCTATAATACCCTTGCAATGTCTTGCACAGAAATTGTTATTTTAATTCATATATAAATGTGGATGCCTAAGAAACTGATTAACCATGGTATAGCCTTTTTTGTTGGCCAGATAGACATAGATATTGCCATTTCCAGACTGTGGTCAGGTGATAGCAAGCATATTATCAACCAAATTATGGGGATTTTTATTAAATGAAAAGTCACAGGAAAATCTTTAAAATATGTTAAATCAATCCAGATGTAGAAAGGTTTCATTAAAATGTCAAAATAGCACTGTAAAGGAATTGTTCCATTATTGTTTGAACAACAGTTAAACTTGAGACATTAAAATAACCTAAAGATTGAAGTGTAGCATAAACTTCCTAAGAGTAAAAACAAACAAAACAAATGCAACAATTTTATACCTTTAACTGAAGCGATAATACTTTAACTGAAGGTATATACTTTAACTTAAACCTTTTGTATTTTATTCATAGTAATAATTATATCCTATCAGGATTTTCTAATGCTCTTTACATACGTGTCTTTATTGACCAAATTTAGGTTGAATGCTATTACTTCCTGAATGACCTCATTATACTGTGGCTATTTTTAAAAAGTACTGATTCGTTGAATTCAAATTCATGTATTATAATTTTACTAAAGTATCTTCAATGATGATCAAAGCTGAACTTTCATGACATGGGAATTTGGATACTATCTATCATCTGTGTTTTCTAGTTTTACTGACTGAAACATCTGTTAAATCATTTGTTTCTTTCATCCTGTTTCAATATTTTTGTTCATTTACATCTAGAATGAAATAATGGCATACAGGTCAATATGGCCTGTATTTCTTAAAGATTAAAACTTGTTTTTGTCCTCTTTATGCTATTTTATGATGCACACACTAACCAAATTTGTATATTGGTTAGAGAAGCACTTATATAATATAAATGTTTTTAATGAATATTTAAACATACTTGACATAAGTACTAGTAGCATTGATTAATGCCACTCTCCAGTAAGAGCGTTGCTTCAGATTTCATTACACTTCCCTAAAATAGGTAGTAACTTTGCTCTTCTTTGATTGAAATTAGTAGTACTTTAATTTTTTATTATAATTTGTGTGTATATATTTGCATGTACATTTTTGTATGTTATGTATGTGAGAGAGAGACACAGAGTTCACATTGTAGCATCAGACATAAAGGCTAAATCCATAGATATTTAGTGAAGGACTGTGTTGAAATATACACAAATAATAAATAATTTAAAAAGAAGGCTATAAAATAATGAGGATTACATTTTCTAGTAAAGTTCTCTTCCTTACACTAGTAGCCCACTGTGTCCTATTAATTTTGCATGGGACTTCTATTCCCATTACTGTTTTCCTGGAACTTGTTGCATGTTGCATTCTCACAATTGCCTGACAATTGCCTCACTTCTTTCCCAGACTTCCCTTTGCATCTCTCCCAAATGTATCTTTCCAAAGTACTGCATTTATCCCAATGTTTGGCTAATTCAACACACACTCCCCATGGCTTTCTGTTGCCTTAATGATACATGCTATATTTTTAGAATAATCTGAACCTGGCTCAAGGACACATCACAGTGTACATCCCCTATCTTCATTTATAATCTATTCCCACATTATTTACCCATAATCTTCTCTAGCCAGATTGTGTATTCCTCCTGCTGCACTATCCCTCCCTCTTTTGCAACCCTCTTGATTATTCTGTGTTTCAGCTTCTGTAGCTATGTAATGAATTACTGAGAACTTAGTGGTGTAAATAAACATTTGCTTTGCGCATGAAATCTGAGGGTAGGCACAGGGGGACAACTTGTCTGGTCTGCAATGTGTGGGGCTTCCTCTGAGTGACTTGAATGCTGGAGGCTTAGGTCATCTGAATACTCCTTCAGTCACAAGTTTAGGGGGTGATGCTGGTTGTTGTCTGGGAGCCTTAGTTTCTTTTCGCATGGTTCTCACCACATTGGCTTCCACACATGGCCTCTCTGCATAAACTCATTTTTTCACAGTGTGTTAGCTGATTTCCCCCCAAAGAGAAAGCCATATGGAAGCTGTATACTTCTCCATAACCTGGGGTCTGAAGTCACATATTATTATTTCTGCTGTATTCTATTTCTCGGAAAAAACACAAGTCTGCCCAGGTTCAAATAAGAAGTAAATATAGTTCACCTCTTGATAGGGATTGTTGAACTTCTGGAAGAGCATGTGGGATTAGAAATATTGCAGTGGCCATATCTTTTTAAATTTTAATATGCTGTAGTCATGTTCTGCAGTTTGTATTCTATACCTCTTATAACTTTCCTAGACTATAAAGCCTGACCAACTTTTCCCAATTCTGAACTCTTATAACCTGTGCTGTGGTTTACAACCAGTATATTCCTTTGAATAGTTAAGTTTCTGTGTACATCTGTGTTATTTCCCCAACTATATGGCAAATTATTTACTGCAAGGACTTTACTTTCCTGTATTTATATTTACCACAAGGCCTAGCATAGGGTTTTGGACACAGTAGGTGCTTAATAAACATCTGGCTTAAAGTCAAATAGGCTTAGCATGAAATTAGAGATTTGGCTTTTATGCATTGTAGATGACCATGGGGGATAGTCTTTGTAAAGAATGCAGTTATTGAGTGGCAGATAGTAGATGTGACTCTAAGAAATAAGTTAGCAAGAATCATGTTTTAGACAGAAGTAAATGCGGTTAGGTTGAATGAAACTTGGAGACTTAAATGCCACTAAGGTATGATGGCAGTCAATGGGAGGTACTTTTTTTTTTTTTGCATCTTAAATATTTTCAATTTCAAATGTACTTAAAACTCATTTAATTAATCCAAATTATGTTCACGGAAAGTATTTAATTCCACTGGCATTTCACTGAGAGGAAGACCTATGAACTAATAGGAGTAAATATTGTAATATTTAATTTTTTTAAACTGTGTAGTTCTATTAAGAAAAGCATTTGTAGTTTGATTAAATTTTATTTAATTTTGAAATTAAAAATATTCATTGTAACAAGCCATGGTATATAGGGAAAAAATGTCTTTCCTTATCCATTCCCATATTGAAGATACAATGTATGTTTCTATAGCTTTCCTCATGCTCTTTTTTCATACTTTATTCCTTATATTTATTGTTCATGCCTTGATTTATTATTCTGAAACATGGTTATGTAAGTAATAATCTGTCTGTGTACTGATTATGAGATTTGAGGCTAAATATAGACTACGTGGCAAACTATTAAATTTGATATTATCACATTGATTTTTTATAGGATCATAGAAAATATAGAAAAATAAAACCTTGGAAAGATAGGTTAAATTTTCCTCTTTTGTACTCCATTTTATGCATCTGTTTGCATTATGAGAACAAATAGCAATCTGATGATAATGCATAGAGCACTCTGACTCTTACTAAAACATCTATGCTCACCAAACATACTCTTACATATTTCAGATGGCTGATCACATTGAGGTGATGAAAGGCATTCATCAATACCCAGGAGTTCGATATCCTGTCCTTACTCCTAATCTTCAGGGTTTTCACCGTGCTGTAAGTGTGCTGTGAATTATTTTTAAATCCGTATACTTCTTAATGTTTTAAGGATCTTTACAAAGTTTAAACAGTATCTGATATAGCTCCCTTGTTAGCCTGCATAAATGCTATGCTAATATATGCACATGAATACCTGGGTATCTGTAACCCCTTAGTATTGGTATGGACTGAAGTGTCCCACATAAATGACCCTTCCATTTTAACCATTCAAGAATCAAAACACAAAAATACAGTTATCCATTTTGATGAAGTTCCTTTGAAAATGTATTTTGTGCTTCCCTCTTAAATAAGAAATATAGAATTTAACTAAACATTTCTCAGTACACTATTATTAGTATTATTGAAATGGATCATATTTGTCAACTTTTTTGGATCGGCTTTCTGTTACTGTTGTTCCCTCCCTCTAGGTGAAGTGAAGCACTGCCACTTAGAACTGCGTATAACAACTTTCCCTCTTCTCTTCTGGCTTGTTTCTTCCAATCCTATGTGACTTAAAAATTTATATGCAAAAGAAAAAAAATATTTGATAATGACACATACAAAAATATGGCAATTTTGAGAAGGCTTGAGGTGTTGTGCTTATAGGGCTTCACCATAAAAGTTTTGCACTGGCTATTTCTGGTGTTAATGAATTTTTTTTCTCTTTTGTATTTGGGACTGTGTTGTGTAAAGTTGAGGTTGTGGATGCTCATTGATAGATTAACTGTTGTGTATCTTGTTAAAACCATTTTTCTTTTATTTTGATAATAAAATTTTTATTCTGTTGTAAAGAAAGAGGCATTTTAAGAAATTATACATATTGCTGTCATTGGTCCTAACAAAATAAGGAATGTCTCCATCTTGAAAAAGATACCAACTGAGAGCACCCCCTTGCAAAAGCTTGAAAGGGCAGGTAGTGGAATGGAACATGTGACTTGGGAGTTAGGCATGCCTGTGCTTAAGGAGACTTGAGAACCTATAGTACCTTTGGGCCCTTGTACAAGTTACTTAGCTCTTTGAGCCACAGTTTTCTCATCTGTAAAATAGGTAAGATTGTGGGTTACAGACAGAACACACAAAAGTACTAACAAAAATCCTGGCACACGGTGAGTATTGAAATAGAATTTGGTTTTAGAATTTAAAATTTTATTTTCAGCCAATCTATATTTTTTGTTGAATTAAAAAAAAGATTTATTTTTCTTAATACATGAATAGGGTATCAGAAAAAGAGGCGAATCTAGACACAACACCACAGATACATTAATAAAAATTCTTTTAAAAATCCAGGAAAACTAGGAAATTTGATATTTGAAAACAAGTCACTGGAGGAGCCTGGAGCAAGGGCTTAAGATGGCAAAAGGGAAAAATATTAGGTTAATATTTTGAATTTAAAGACTGGCAAGAGGATTAAGACATTAGACATATAAGTATGGCCATAGCAGTCAAGGTATGAAACAATGGATGCTAGCTTAAGAGACAGAAAGAAAATTTGGGGCAAAATCTCAGTGATGAATTGGAAAAACATTTTTCTGTTAGGTTTTAGAAAGAGGAGAAGAACAGAAAGCATTATTCTCTCATAATTGGTCTAAAGATAATGTTTTCCATAGATCTTAAATGGCTTTATTGGGGTGCCAGTATTTTCCATAATTATAGTTAAAATATGCTTGATACCTACCCATATTTTAGGAAAGATAAAATTAAATTGGAGCATCATTGCTGTTTTCTGTACCTCAGATTTATGAGTGTTGCAGCTTGGGGAATTATTTTCTTATCACGAAATACATTTAAAATTTGAAAAGATCATATGTGGCAAGATGAGAAGATTCTAATTGTGAATTCCAAGGCAAATGTTAAAGAATACATGTATGCCTTTATTGAGTAGTTAATAATTCTTCTATTGCTATCATTTACGTGTTTGAAATTACATGTTTTTGCCTTCAATTGTATTTTTCAGGTTGCTGCCGGAGCCACCGAGATCTCAGTTTTTGGTGCTGCATCTGAATCCTTTAGCAAGAAGAATATTAACTGTTCTATTGAAGAAAGCATGGAGAAGTTTGAGGCGGTTGTTAAGTCTGCAAGGCACATGAATATTCCAGCACGAGGGTATTTATGAAATTCCACAAATTCTAGTTAGTGAATATCTATCTATTCTTGAAGTTCATATATGAACTATGTAGATATTATTTTAGCATTCATAATATGCATAGGGTATTTTTGTATCTTTTATGATCAGGCCATCACTGTATAGTGATCTATCTCATGAATATCCACTAATAATTATTAGAGTTTATCTAGCTTTAAAGTATACAGTACTGCCAAGATGAGAACCAAGCTTGACTTTGCAGACCTAACATTTCATGCAAACCTGACATTGTTACGCAACTTATTAACACCCAAGATCTTTTCATTTCAGCCTACTGTGGGCTGATCAATTTGTGTAAACTCGTAGTATCATTTGCAATGGAACCATCTAATGTGGCTTCCACATCTTTAAAAACATTTTTAAGACCTGGGACTTTCTTCAAAAAATTATTTTATGTAGAACTTCAATAGAGTATATAAAACAAAATTGAGCTTTCGAACTGCACCAGGAAATTCAACCCATCTTTTTCCCCATTCAACCTCCCCTTCACAGTGGACTTCTCTGTTTTCTCTGTGTGACCCAAAAGCAAAGGTAAATGGGGAAGGGGAAGAGAGAGAAGATCCCCTTTGATTCTTACCTGCTTCCAGACCCAGCACTTGGAGCATGTACTGTGGTCTCTACTCTCAGGCCTATGTTCTGTGAGATGTATAATAACTTGTTACTTAAGAAGGAATTTGTTTCTAAGACACTAGCTAATTTTCTATTGATTTTTATAATTATAGAGATATGTCAGTCTTAATCTGAATCAATTAAAATGTATGGCATTCATAAGAGAAGCCTGACAGCTATAATTAGATTTAAATACAGGTTTACTTCTTTCAGTTTAGGAGAACAAAATCTATAGTGGCAAGTAAAGGTTCAATGGTTAATGAGAAAGACAAGTGGATCCAATTTTGAGTGACAATATTAGAAAAGAGTTAGATTTCAACCAAGGTCATTTGGAGAGCAAATAGAACTAGACTGTACCAAGGGGGACTTTCTTGTTGGTTTGCTTACTTTACTTAGCTTCTTTTTCCTCTCTCCATAGCAGTAGTTTTCAGCATGAGTTTTTAAAAATGTAAAATTGTTTTTGTAGTCAAAATATACACATTGTGGAAAACACATACAAGAAGAACTTAAAAACCAAGAAACGTGTATCCATAGACAGAAAGTAAAGGATGTGTTTTATATTGCAAAAAAATGTGAATAACCACAACAAAATGTATTATAGGTGTCTAAGTTCAAACATACATAAGCTTTTTTGTCTCTTTCCTTTCAAAGAAAGGGAAAAATGAAGAAGCTACTGTATTTAACATGGGTTTAAATGTGGAGTATAGGTTTTACAGTAAAGTCACTCTCATTGGAAATTTGGGAAAAAAAAACCCATTACCATACTAAGTAAAGTGAATGTGCAGCTTGCACTTCAAATATGAAGTTTTTTAATGTTAAAAGATGGTTGTAAACATAAATTATTTTAATATCACATTTTATTATCTCAGTTTTTCTCTTATAAAATAGAATTTCTATTAAAGCTAATAGAATTCTTAAATTCTCTTGAATACTGAGTTTTGAGCACTTTATATTGTCCCATCAGTAAAGAAACGTTTTTAGAAACTTTTTCTTTTAATAGAGAATGTGTGAGTCAGGGAAAGGGTCAGGAGAGGGAGAAGGGGAGAGAGAGAGAGAGAGAGAGAGAGAAAATATGAATATCCAATGCAGGCTCCACGCTCATTATGTAGCCTGACATAGGGATCAATCCCACCACCCTGGGATTATGACCTGAGCTGAAATCAAGAGTTGGATGTTCAACGTGCTAAGCCACCCAGGCACTTCAATAAACTTCTAACCATACTAACTTAAAAAGTATAGGCCTTAATAAGAAGGGTACAAAGTGCAAGATGGACAAGAAGTACTCACAGTCCAATGCCATCAGCAGAGTACATTGGAGACCTACTGTAGAAGTATACAATAAATAAATGTGTGTTTTCCAACACAGATTTTGCTCCTTTGAGCACAACTCCTAGATCTGCTGAAACACTATTCATTTGTAGAAATAGACCTTTTAGTCTGTGAGTTCACTCTTGGTGCCGAGAATTATCTTCCTACTCCCTCACACTTTGAGAGAATTTAAATTAGATTTTATTTTTACTGGCAATCTAGAATTTAGATACTCATCATTAAAAGTCATAAGTCACTGGTAATCATTTAAGAAAAAAAGAGTCATGTTCAACTAGTGGAAACTGAAGTAGATGCCTCAGCGTGTCTTTCTGGGGCTATATGGCAACAGCTGCATCAACATGAACTTGATCATCATGCAGAAAATTTATGTCATCAGCTGTCAGATTTAAAGGCCATGGGGCAGTACACATTTTATATGCTTACTTATATGCTTACTAAAACGATTTACATTTTAATAAAAATAGTAAACTTTCATATGGTCTAAATAGCAGATTTTATTAAAGTTATTAAGGCTGTGGTTTGATCCCCTGATCCTGTAACACACATATACACATGCATGTGTACACATTTTTTAATAGATGCTCAGAACTTTACACAACATCTGGGACACATTGGGAAAGCATACCATGCCAAATCATTGACATAAAATGCAAAGTCAGCTAACTACTGCTGAATATACATTATATATGAGTGAGCAATGAAATGTCTACATTTTGGACTTCATTCGTTAATGTCTAATTCATATGACATATGTTTAAAATATCTAGGTGATTTTTCTAATATCTGTCAAAATTTTTAAAAAGTTAAAAAGGCAAAGAAAAATAAAAGTCTGATAAATGTAATGATTTTCTCTATTTTTATCAATGCATTTATTGAAATAATGAAATCTTGGTTTGTCAAGATCCTTTCAAAATTGAAACATCTCAAGCTATGAAGTAGTGCTCTAATATATGAAACATTTAGTTTTATTTCTTCTTGTCTGAGTATCGACTTACCTTAAATGAAGTCACAACAATCACATACACTATTTGTGAGAATATTATTTAAAAAAAAAAACTGTCACTAACAAGCCATTATTAATTTCACTATTAAAATGCTTATCAATATATATAACAAATTCACAAGGTCAGCGGTTGTGCATATCAAAGCAAAACTTTTTACATAATGATGTCTTAGGCCTTTCTTATAAAATGACTTCAAATGATTTGAACCATGATTACTCTGAAGGTTTGAGCCTACTGAAAGTTGAAAGTAGTAGTTTTGTAACATTTCTCCTAGAAGCCAAACAAAATTATCCATCTATTATTTACATAAATATACAAAATGCAAAAATATTTAACTGTGAACTGTAACCACTGGATTCCTTAAATTCCCAGAAGAAAAATGTCCAAAATAATGAGAACAAGGAGTAAAAGACAAATGAGAAATTAAGAGAGATAATCATTTATAACTTTTAGATACAGAAAAACCAAAGACCATTTTAGGATGTGATAATGGTTTATACTGCATATTAGTGTCTTTGTTTTCTTTTGGGTAAATACCCAGTAGTGAAATGACTGGATGGTATGGAATTTCTATTTCTTGAGGAACCTCCATGTTATTTTTACAGTGACTGCCAATTTACATTCCCACCAACAGTGCACCAGGGGTCCTTCCCCCCTTCCCGCACCCCACATTGGCACCTACACTTTGTATTTTTAAAATCTTTTACATACTAGCTATTTTGAAAGATGTGAGGTGATATCTCCTTGTCATTTGATTTGCATTTCCCTGATGCGAATGAGTGATGTTGAACATCTTTTCATGAGTTTCTTGGCCATCTGTATATCTTCTTTGGATAAATGTATTCAGATCTTTTGCCCATTTTTAATTATTATTTTTTTGATGTCAAATTGTGTAGGTTCTTCATATATTTTGAATATTAACTTCTTATCAGATATGTCATTTGCAAATACCATCTCCCATTTGGTAGTTTGCCTTTTCGTTTTGTTGATGGTTTCCTTCACCATGAATTTTTTTTTTTTTTTTTTTTTAGTTGGGATAGTCTCAATAGTTCATTTTCACTTTTGTTTTTCTAGAATGTGTATCTCTTGATCAATGCACTCACCCTCACCACATACTTTCTGCTTATCCAAGACCAATAATAATCCATTCTGGTTTAACGGCTTCTGAATAAGATTGTATTATGTATATTAGTGACCAGTTTCTTTGATGAAACACCCTTAACATTAGGACATTCTTGAGCATTATTATTTTTTGATGAGTTGCTTAGCTCTGTATAATTTCTAACCCTTAAAATGACTATGCAGTAAGGGAAGACTCTTCTACCTCAAAATGGTCAGTTTTCATTAGTTTTTCCCTTTGAGAGGTAATTTTGAACACCAACTTATTTAGTCAAGAATTTGCAACCTGTGTGTTAGCCAAACTATTTAGATCATGTTGCACATGTTGTGTTCCTTATTCTTTGTCTGCATAATATATGTTATAATGGATTCTGATGCTGATCTTGAAGATAATAGCAGTACTATTGAGTGTGATAATGAGCTTTCTTATTTAAGTCTCAATATTTTAAATACACTGTGTTTCTCATGACTAACATAGCAAATACCTTCCATTGGATGATCTACCCCAGGAGATGCACTTGCATATTTGGCACCATCTTCTAAGTGTACAGTTTATTGGCCAAGTTCATTTCCAGTGTCTTAAACTGAGGCCTTCCCATTGGCCTGGAAGAAAAAATTTGAAGAGCAATTCAAAACCTCATTTACCAAAGCATGGTACATAAAACTCTAAAAGTGAGACATCTGTTAAAACTATTTTCTGTCATACATATTGTTTGTTTGAAGGGTTATACTTTTTTTTAGCTTTACATATTAACATGGCACTACCGTGTATCAGAATAACACATACCCAGCAATAGTTAATATGTGTAAGCTGTGTTGTGTAGTCATCTCTAAACAGCCTTCATATAGAGCCTTTGAGGAAAGAATGTGTCTTGTCATTTTGCTTGAAAGTAGCATTT